TCTAAAATGTTACAAATAAACCTTCTGCAGACATCTGTAGAGTATTGTATCTTTCTAAAATGTTACGAATAAACCTTCTGCAGACATCTGTAGAGTATTGTATCTTTCTAAAATGTTACGAATAAACCTTCTGCAGACATCTGTAGAGTATTGTATCTTTCTAAAATGTTACGAATAAACCTTCTGCAGACATCTGTAGAGTATTGTATCTTTCTAAAATGTCATGAATAAACTTTTTTTAGGTTTTCTAGCTGCTAGTGTTGCATCAGTTGCTTTTATTTTACCTCAATTTAGACAATTAGAAGAAGAATACAAATTCAACAGACATAACTATGTGGGCCTACAAAGTCAAAGTACAAATCTCTAACTACAATAGTACTTTGTTAAATATATGGAAATGTCAGCTACCGTACATAAAATACGTATTTATACATATCGTTAATATTTATTCACAAATGCTTAAGTTTTAGTTATTTTTCTTAAAACCTACAAGAATAAAAAAAATATATTTCAAAAACAAAGATCGAGTACTTACGTTGGTTAAGAGACTTTGTGCTCAAGCATCGCACGTGCTAAGCCTCGTTTATTCTTCCAAATTAAGGGCATAGAGTTATTAATATTTTTACACTTCAAACTTGCATATAAACTAATAAAAAAATATCAACTTACTATATTAGTGCACACAAAACAACTGTAATTTATTTGGGAGTCTAAACAAGCTTTATGCGAGTTTTAAAAAATCCTGTTTCTCTTCAGAGCAACTACTTAATCTTCACACTTCAACAGTTTTGGTGAAATTATGATTTTCTCCTTCAAGCTATTTACAAACGGCTATAAAACTTATATACAGAAATAACTGCTCTTTCTATTGGTTATAAACTCTTAGAAAAATAAAAGTAGGTGGGACTAGAAAAGAGGTTTTGAAAGACTGGAGTAGTAGGAGGAGCCAAACTACTACATTGGCTAAATATACTTAAATCTCAGCAAATCAAAGAGGTAGGAGGTTTTTTAATTATAACTTGTCAATATCTCCAATTTGAGTTTCTAATTCGTTAACTACTGCACACTTCGTATGGTAGGTGTAATTAATTATACACTGAACAATAACGCAACAGAAAGTGTTATGTGACAAAAAAATATTTTTTTTTCTTTATATATCCTTTTAAATTGAGAAATTAAAATGTGTATAATATTAAAATTTGAAATATAACCTTTATTTTGAATAATAAAATTTTGAAAATAGCTCTCTAAAATGTCATGACAGGCACCCTTTGACCTGCCAGTAGCGAAAGGGTTAAGCCACCTCTTAACGTTATATGTCATTACAGGGTGTAAATACAGTCTCTAAATAACCTAATTTAGGTAGTATTTATAACACATATTCCTGCCAAGGTCACTTAGAGATATACTTAAAAAATGCAGACAGAATGACCTTTTGCATAAAATGAAAAACTGTATGAATTAGTCCAAAGACATTTTGAGACATGCACATTTAGGCCTCAAAAAGGAGCAGGCACAGTGACTTCTATCCACAGAATTGGAAATCAACATATGAAGTGACCCAGTGAAATTTTCGAACATCCAAATCTAGATTTAAAAAAAAAAAAAGAAGAAGAAGCAGACGACACAGTGACCTCTATCCACAGAAAGGGAAATCAACATATAAAGTGGCCAGTGAAATTTTGAGACATCCACATTCATGTTTTAAGAAAAAGGAGAGACATTGACCTCTTACCACAGAATGGGAAAACAATGTATAGTGTGCCTTATACTGTATCTAGGCCTATACCTAGACTATCAGTAGCAACAAGACAATACAGGTTCTCCTACTGTTAGTCTAAGTATTGGTGTTAGTAATATTGATGAAAGTTTATTATCTATAACTTCATGTTTAACATCATTGTTTTAGCAGCTTCCTGATAGTATATAAAGCTCTATTGATGAATGCAATACAAACACTAGATTTAGACCTGTATCTAAAATAATGTATCTATATGCAGCCTGGATTTGATATTTATGCTTATGACCAGTTAGATCCAAATCTGGATCTAGCTATGTCTAAAGCTAGCCTACCAAGTTCTATGTTCCAACTATACTGCAGTATTTTCCTGATGCAGAAAAACTGTGTGACAAGGAGTTCGCCTTAAATCGGGTTGACCGTTTATTGTTAATGCTTATGTACTTGAAGAAGAAAAAAACTTAGATATAAATGAACATTTAGAACTGAGGGTGAAGATAAGAGAGTTGACACCAAAAATGATGACAGTACCTGGTTGGTACTATAAAAAAAACTATGTTGCACCCAGTTATTTATAAGCCAGATAAAATTGATTAGGGTTAGATGGGCCATACCCGGTTACCAAGAATTTAAATATGACAGCGAGAACTTTAAAGCTGTGGAGTACAAAAAAAACTAATTGAAACACTTTTACATCTCCAGCTGAAAGCTCAAATGGAGGTTGGTAGAAGTTTCTGAACATTTAGTACATAATTAGCAACTAAGTATAAGGCTTATTTACTACACAATCAACAACAGTAAAGTAATCTTATATACATATTGTTACTAAGTACGGCATGCTGAAAAAACGACCCCTGCATGTTGTTGAACTGAGAATACAAACTAATGTACAAAAATGTTTCAAATTGCAGTGTACAATTTATAAACATATGTAAAAACAGTTATAATAGCTACATCTGTATTATTATTTTGTATCTGGTAATTTGTTTAAACTTTTTTATTTTACTAATCTAAAACCAAACTTACTTTTTAAAGTAAGCACCACTGAACCACTCCACAAAACCTAACTTACTTTTTTTAAGTAAATGCCACTGAACCATTCCACAAAACCTAACTTACTTTTTAAGTAAATGCCACTGAACCATTCCACAAAACCTAACTTACTTTTAAGTAAACACTACTGAACCATTCCACAAAACCTAACTTACTTTTTAAGTAAATGCCACTGAACCATTCCACAAAACCTAACTTATGTTCCTTACAGTGAAGCGCATCTTTTAGAAACAAAAACAATAATAGTTTTCATTCCATGTATTATTCCCATTAAGGTACATTAGTAATCTTTCCTTACTTTATCATGGTTGAATTATTCTTGGTAGAGGGCAACAGACTACAAATAATGCAATACCTTCAATGACATGGATTTTTGACCATTGGACTACAGATGTAGATTAAAAATGAGATACTTCCAAGGAACACAGTCTTACTAAATAAGAAATCAGAATGCGACATGGAGAAAGTCAAATACAGATATCAAGCACTTCTTATTTACTTCTACTGTCAAAAAAAAAGAATATATTGATACATTTTTAATTTGATAGTAAAATCAATTAGTACAATTTTTCCTCATAGACAAAAGACATACCTGAGGTTCTCCATTTTCAGCATTCTGCATATCCATTGTTTTACTTAATCATCCTTTATTTCATGTACACAGGTCACATGTTCTGCCTTATTTACATAATGTAGGTGCTAATTATCTTTTAAACACTCTCTTGGCACAAAATGACATCTTCCCTGAAAAGACAATGATCAAAAATCAAAACTTTATTAATAGTACATATATATATATATATATTGAAATTCCTGATTTGAAAACAATGAAACAATTTTTTTAATATAGAATGTATAGAAACAGAACCTCATCAGAGTTCTTAATTGTATGTTATGAATTTATGCAGATAATACATTTCATAAATCAATTATGTACGTGTTATTAACTTGGAAATAAAAGCCTTACAATAACCTTAGCACTATTACAGATTCATGCATCACAAAAAATAGTTCTGAGAAAACTATGTGAGAAGTTGAGAGGCACATATTTGTACTACTTAAAATGTCCTAATTCTTAAATGATATCAATGAGAATGTAAGAAAAAATACATTCAATTAGAACTGAGAGTGGACGGGTAGGCGGGTTGAACTTTAGATTTACTCTAAACGTGTAGCTTGTTCTGATCGTAAGTTAATACTAGAGTCAAGTACCTGTAACATGTGCCATGTTCATAACTTTCACTTTGTTCTTGGTAAGACATTAAAACAACAAATATAGTTTATGATCTATAACACATCATCATAAACCACAGTCTGACACATTTTCCTAATTGTTGGAAAATAGCCTTATATGAGCAGCTAATCCTCAAAAACAGATATGAGCATTATGGTAAACAACAGAAAAACAAACATTTTCTTCAGAATAAAACAGCATGACAGTCAACAGAAGAACAAACATTTTCTTCAGAAAACAACATTATGACAATCAACAGAAAAACAAACATTTTCTTCAGAATAAAACAGCATGACAGTCAACAGAAGAACAAACATTTTCTTCAGAAAACAACATTATGACAATCAACAGAAAAACATCATGACAGTCAACAGAAAAGAACATCAAAACAATCAATAGAATAAAACAAGTTCTATAGAAAAAAAAACAATAAAAAGTTCTATAGAAAAACAACAACAATGAAACAAGTTCTATATAAAAACAATAAAAAAGTTCTATAAAAACAATGAAACAAGTTCTATAGAAAAACAAAAAATTCTATAGAAAAAACAATAAAAAGTTCTATAGAAAAACAAACATTTTCTTCAGAATAAAACAGCATGACAGTAAACAGAAGAACAAACATTTTCTTCAGAAAACAACATTATGACAATCAACAGAAAAACAAACATTTTCTTCAGAAAACAACATTATGACAATCAACAGAAAAACAAACATTTTCTTCAGAAAACAACATTATGACAATCAACAGAAAAACATCATGACAGTCAACAGAAAAACAAACATTTTCTTCAGAAAACAACATCAAAACAATCAATAGAATAAAACAAGTTCTATAGAAAAAAAAACAATAAAAAGTTCTATAGAAAAACAACAACAATGAAACAAGTTCTACATAAAAACAATAAAAAATCCTATGGAAAAACAATAAAAACTATATAAAAACAACAACAATGAAAAAGTTCTATAAAAACAATGAAACAAGTTCTATAGAAAAACAATAAAAACTATATAAAAACAACAACAATGAAAAAGTTCTATAAAAACAATGAAACAAGTTCTATAGAAAAACAAAAAAATTCTATAGAAAAAACATTAAAAAGTTCTATAAAAAGCAATGAAACAAGTTCTATATAAAAACAAAAAATTCTATAGAAAAACAACAATGAAAAAGTTCTATAAAAACAATGAAACAAGTTCTATAGAAAAATAACAATGAAAAAGTTCTATAAAAACAATGAAACAAATTCTATAGAAAAACAAAAAATTCTATGGAAAAAACAATAAAAAGTTCCATAGAAAAAAACAATGAAACAAGTTCTATATAAAAACAATAAAAAATTCCATAGAAAAACAATAAAAACTATAGAAAAACAACAACAATGAAAAAGTTCTATAAAAGCAATGAAACAAGTTCTATAGAAAAACAACAACAATGAAAAAGTTCTATTAGGAAGTAGAAGTGGATAAAACATTGGCTTCAAAGAAACAGTTTCAAGGAGAAACTAAGATAGCTTAGATGGGTTCCTGGGAAAAGAAACAGAAGTGTTAAATATGCATTTTTCACATAAGGAGATTTAATATACAAGTTTGAAATTCATTACTTACATCATCTATTTGTTTAGGTTATTAGATGGCAATACTTTTAAATTTAGTTATAAAACACAGGGTTGATATTGTTGAGTGTTTGTCATATTCAGAAAGATCAACCTTAATGACATGACCTAAACGTGGAAAATTAGTTTACATATTGAGAAATATAAACAAGTCTTTGGGGTGTGTAAATTAGTACAGACTTCCATCTTGTGTGAAAAACAGCAGATTTAAGGTATGATGACGGATAAAAATTCGTCAGTATTTAATTGTGGTGAAAGAAAGTACGTTATATGCTAAGTTTAACGATAAGAAGATTTTTGTTACCTTTTGTAAGATTGGTAAACCTTCATTCAGGATAATCCATGCAGTTTCAATCTACATATAACGGAAACAAAACTTTGCTGAAAATACGCTGTGACAGATTACTAAAATAATACCCTCCTTGCATGAGAAACCTGACCAATAAAGAATGTAGTAGAGATGACTGGATCTGATGATGATATGTTTACACGATATTAGCTCAAATACTATTAAACATTGTAATGTATGTACATGTAAATTGGTACATTTACTTCAGTCTAATACTTAGCTACTTAGACATCTAGAGGTTACATGGTTAACATTTCATTTCTAAATGATAACATGGAATCATATGGCTTATGTACTATAATAATGTAGCCATCCCCTTCTCTTCCAACATCCTACTCCATACTATATATATATATATATATAGAAACCCCTTTTTCAATACCCATCCCAATTTTAAACTTTAAAATGCTCATTAACTTACTTACATTTTTTTGCATAAACACTCTTATACTAAAAACTAGAATACTTTCACGATTCATT